CGCCGCCGGCGAGCACGAAGATCGCCGCGGCGGCCGCCGCGGCGCCGAGGGGCGCGGCGCCCGCGCGGACCGCGGCCGCGCGCGCGGCGGCCGCCGCGGCGGGCGACGCGCCGAGCGCGACCGCGCCGCGCGCGAGCCGCTCCGCGAGGGACGAGTCCAGGTCCACGGCGGCCGGCGCCATCACCGCGGCGGCCGGCGCCGGCGCCTCGACGACGGGGCCGTCGAAGAAGGGCGCGGGCGCGGGCGCCTCGGACACGCGGCGCGCCGTCGGCGTCTTCCCCCACTCCGGCGGCGCGGGCGCCTCGGCGACGACGGGCGCCGGCGCGGGCGCCGCGGGGCGGACCGCGCGGCCCTCGACGGCGCGCAGGAGCCGCTCGAGCGCGTCCGCGGCGACCGCGCGCGCGACGCCGTGCGGCGACGCCGCGGCCTCCAATTCCGCGAAGGCTTTCGCCGACGACGGCCCGCCGAGGGCGAGGACGACGTCGTCGTCGCCGCCGCCCAGCGCGCGCAGGGCGAAGGCGTCGAGGGGCGGCGCCGCGGCGGCCCAGGCCTCCCAGGCCGGCGGCTCGCCGCCGCCCCGGAGCCGGCCCTCGAGCGCGTCCAGGACGCCGCGGACGCCGCGGTGGCCGCCCGCGGCGTCGACGGCGGCGTTGAGGGCGTCGAGGCGCGCGACCCGCAGGGCCCGGACCGCGCCGCGGGCGGCGGACGACGCCAGGTCCGCGTCCGCGGCTTCGGCCGCCGCCGAGGCTCTCAGCTCGTCTTTCCGCCGGGGCGTCGGCCCCGGCGACGGCGCGGGCCGCTCGCGCGCGGGCGCCGGCCCCCGCGCCGTCGCCCCGCCGCCGCGCCGCGCGAGCTTCTCGCGGATGCGCCGCACGAGCCCCGCGGCCGTCTCGTCGCCGGGACGCCGCGGCGGGCCGGTCCCGTCGAACGCGCGCTTCAGAGCGTCGTCCAAACTCAAACGGTCGCTACGGATCTCCGGGCCGGCGCTGCCCGTGTCCGCCATGAGGGCCCGCGCGGCGCGGTCGAGCTCCTGCAATCCCGCCGCGCACTCTCTCAAGCGGCGGTTTCGGTCGACGAGCCGCTCGTGCGCGTCCGTGTACACGAGAGGCGGCGGCCGCTCGTCCCCCCGCGCCTTGGCGAAGATCAGGTCCCCCAGGTCGCGGAAGCTCGCCTTGCAGCCGTCGTGGGCCTCGACGAGGCGGCAGCGCTGGCTCCAGAGCACCGCGAGCCGCTCGCGCCAGGCCGCGTCCGCCGTCGTCGCGCGCTGCGCCTTGAGCTCCGCGGCGCGAAGCAGGGTCCGTTCCAGGAGCGTCTCGAGCGCCTCGAGGCGCTTCGTGGCGCCGATCTTCGACGCGAAGGCCGCCTCGTGGCTCTCGCGCGACACGCCGACGTTCGCGACGGAGAACGCCGTCGCCGCGTCCACGGCCGCCTCGAGCGCCGCGGCGCTCTCCGCCGCGTCCCGCGCCGCGTCGGCGGCGCGGCCGAGCGCCAATTTCTGCTGGCGCATGGCCCAGGCCGGCTGGCACGCCGGCGGCAGGTGCTGCCAGAGCAGCGCGACGCAGTCGACCGTGTACCTTCCGAGGTGGCGGCACCGCTTCCACGCGGACGTCCGCTTGTACTCGGACGACGAGTCGCAGCAGGCGAGGAAGCGCAGGATCGCCACGAGCGCGCCCCGCGACGCGTCGCTCGACAGCGTCGTCGCCCGGGACCGCGGGCTCCGCGCGCTCGGGGGCGCGGACCGCGGCGACGCCTCCGCGGCCGCGAGCGCCGCCGCGTCCGCGACGACGTCGCCCTCGTTCAACAGCTGCTCGACGGCGTCGGAGAGGAACGGGCTTATGCCGCCCGCGGAGATGCCCGGCCGGCCGTCGCCGCCGTAGAACGCGCGCGGCGCCGCCCGGGCCGCCGCCGTCGCGAACTCCGCGGCGCGCTCCAGGAAGACGAGGCCGGGCAGCCCGCTCACGTGGTCGTTGACGAGGCTGACGACCTCCTTGCGCGTGAGCGCGTCGGGCCAGGTGCGCACGTACTTGAGCGCCATCTTCCGCACCTCCCCGTCGCCGCCGGTCGCCGGCGTGCGCCGGCGGAGCAGGGCGCCGTCGAGCGGCACGCGGCTGAGCTTCGGGACGAAGGGCTCCCATTGCCGCGAGTGGACCGGGCAGGAGGCCATGCTTCTCTAGCAATGGCTGCCCATGCGCGGTTGACTAAACCGATGTTCAAGAGAGCGGCACCGTCGACATGGTGCAGATTCTACAATCTCCTTCCGTGCAATGGCCGCCGCTGGTGGCCGTCTGCGCGCCCTGTTAATAGCGGTGCTGGCGCTCTGGCCGGCGCACGCGTTGCAACGCGCGCCGCAGAAACAGTGGCAGCGACGACGGCGGCTCGGCGCCGCGAAGGGCTTCGGCGGCGGCCCCGCCAAGAAGAGCGGCAAGAAGAAGGCGCGCGCCCGCGCCGCGACGGCCGCGCCGGCCGAGGTCGCCGCGCCGCCGCCGCCGCTCCAGCCCGCCGCGCCGCCGCCGCCGCTGTGGCCGCTGCGGATCCTGCACGCGGACGGCGCGGGCGCCGGCCGCGCGTTCGGCGTTTCGCCCGCGGCCGTCGGCTGGGACCGGCGCGCGCCGCCGGCGACGCGCGCGCCCGTCGACGGCGTGCCCGGCGCCTTCCTGCTCCGGAACGCGCTGACGCCCGGCGAGTGCCGGCGGCTCGTCGATTTAGCGGAGGCCGCGGGCTTCGAGGAGGGCGGCGACGCGGCCGCCGACGACGACCGCGACCAGCGCAACGGCGCGGTGTCGCTGGCCCTCGACCTGGGCCCCGTCTTCGAGCGCTGCCGCTCCGCCTTCCCGGACCGCATCCTCTCCTACCGCTACGCCGGCGGCGGCGACCGCTACGAGAAGTTCGACGACGAGGCGCCGCGGCGGCTCTGCCCCGGCGCGCCCGAGGGCTCCTACGAGGTCGAGGGCCTGAACCCGCGGGGGCGCTTCTACCGGTACCGCCCGGGCTCGGGCGACGTCTTCCGGCCGCACCGCGACGACGTCTGGCCCGGCTCGAGCCTCGTGCGGACTACGCGGGCGCCGCCGGGCCTGCCCTTCGACGCGGTCGCGGAGGACGGCTGGGCCTACGCGGCGGACCACAAGTCGCCCTGGGCCTTTCGGCGCGGCGTGGACCGCGTGTCCCAGCTCACCGTGCTGCTCTACCTCAACGACGACTTCGCCGGCGGCGAGACGACGTTCTTCGACGACGACGGGTTGCCGCCCGTGGCCGTCAAGCCCGAGGCGGGCGCCGCGCTCTGCTTCTGGCAGAGCTTCAAGCTCGGCCGCAACTTCCGCTGCCGCGACAGCGCCCACGCGCACCTCCACGAGGGCAGCCCCGTGCGGCCGGGCTCGGGCTCGCCGAAGTACGCCGTCCGCACGGAGGTCCTCTACACGTTCCCGGACCAGGGCGAGCCGCCGGCCTAGCCCGACCCGCGGCGCGCCCTTGTACATACGCTTCACATATTTTGAGGTTGTTGGGCCACACCTTGAAGCGATGTTGCCCCGATGTTGCACAAGACTGCAGGTCGACTTCGAGCGCTTCGGCTGCCTCACGTCGCCGCGCCGCATCGCTGCGCATCGCAACGATGTCGCTGCTCCTGGACCCGCGCCGCTACCTGTCGATTTGCGGCCTCCAGATCCAGACGATCAGCGACGTCAAACTCAACCTCGACGCCGCGGAGAAGATGATGCGCGCCAACCCCGGCCACGACCTCTACGTGCTGCCGGAGCTGTCGTCCGCGGGCTACGGCGTCGACACGTTCCATTGCCGCGAGCGGCTCGCCGAGCCGCCGCTCAACGGGCCGAGTTTCAACCGCTTCTCGCGGCTCGCCGTCGAGCTGGACGCGTTCGTCGCCTACGGCATCCTGCGGAGGAACATCGGCGACACGTACTACATCTGCCACGTCGTCGTGGGACCCCACGGCCGGCCCGTCTGCTACTACGACAAGATGCATCTGTGCGACATGGGCGCCTGCGCCGAGGGCGCGCAGGGCGTGACCGCGGGCGCGGCGGAGCCGTGCGCGTTCTACTGCCGGGGCTGGACCGTCGGGCTCTGCATCTGCTACGACCTGCGGTTCCCGGAGCTCTGGCGCGACCTGGCCTGGAAGCGGGGCGCCGACGTCGTGGTCCACCCGAGCGCCTTCGTCAGGGACGCGACGTTCCCCTCGTGGCATGCGTTCGTCTGCGCGCGCGCCGTCGAGAACCAGGTCTACGTGGTCTCCGTGAGCCACGCGGGCGAGGACTTCGGCGGGTCCATCGCGCACCCGCCCTGGCTCGGCCCCGTGGCGGACGACGACGACGACTTCGACCTCGCGCCCGCGCTCGCGGACGACGCGGCGCCGTGCGCGCTCGTCTGCCGCCTGGACCGGCGCGCGCTCGACGCGGTCCGGCGCCAGTTCCCCTACCGGAAGGACGCCCGCCTGTTCGACGGGCCGCCGGTCGTGGAGACGTCCCTCCACGGCGAGGTCGCGTCGGACTGGCACGCGAAGATCCACGGGCAGAGGAAATAACGCGAGTTTTACTCGTAGACGACGCCGGCCCGGCCCGCGACGGCTCGTCGCAGCGCGCGCCAGTCCGGCGCGGCGCTCGTCGCGTGGCGCAGCGTGCAGGTCTCGCCGTTCATCTTGTGGATCTTCGCGCACGCGCGCCCCGTGGACACGCCCATGCGGACGAACTTCGCGACCTCGGTTTTCATGGGGTCCAGGATGTAGCACATCTGCGACTCCGACGTGTCGAGCCGCTCCTGCGCGGGGCGCTCGTCGCGCGGGGACGCGCGGCGCGACGGACCTGCTCGCAATAGGTGGCGAGGACGTCGAGCACGGCGTCGGCCGTGCGGCCGCCCTTGGGCGTGTGGGCGTAGAGGTGGTTGATGGTCTCCTCGCAGACTGCGCGCGGTGATATGTTACGCTTCGAGGGATGCGCGTACCTGGACAGTTCGACGACGCCGCGCATCTCCAGAGCAGGAGCAGGGAGCAGAGCGGACGACGCATCGTCGTCGTGAGGGCAGCCCCGGGGCCGAAGATGCATGCTACCTTAAGGTGGGTACTTTCCTTGAAGGTGCCCCTCGGCTCAACAGCGATGGTGACGACGTTTGTGCTCGCAGCGATCGCCTCGTGCGCGACCGCTCTGGTGCCGATCCGCCCAGCGACGCGCACCCGGCTCGCGCCGACGAAATCGTCCTTCTCCGACGACTTCCTGAGCGACATCTTCGACGAGGCGGACAGTCGGTCCGCGGCCGTCGAGTCCTACGAGGGCAACGGCGTCGCCGGCGGCTACGAGGGCTCCGGCAGCGGCGGCTGGCACGACTACGAGCGCGCGGGCGACGACGACGGGTCCCCCGTGGACGCCGCCGCCGTCGACGCGCTCCTCGCGGAGCGCGTGTCGTTCAAGAAGCGGCGGCTCTTCGAGGAAGCCGACGCGATCCGCGACGAGCTCCGCGACGCGCACGGCGTCACGGTCTGGGACCGGGACCGCGTCTGGCGCACGGGGCCGGACCCGCGCGCCAGCGGCCGCGGGGGCCCCCGGGGCGGCGGCCGCCGGAACTCGCGCGACCTGGGGCCCCGGGGCCACGACTACGAGCGCGTCGGCGGGCCCAGTGTCTCCGGCATGGCCGAGGCCGACGTCGACGCGCTCCTCGCCGAGCGGCTCCAGGCCAAGTTCGCGCGCAACTTCGCCGTCGCCGACGACATCCAGGCGGAGCTCATCAACTCGGGCGTCCGCGTGCACGACGGCATGAAGTCGTGGCGCGACGACGGCGAGGGCTTCGGCGACGACCGCGGCGACGGCCGGCCGGGCCGCGAGCGGGGCTCGCGGAGCGACCGGGACCGGCCCTACGCCAAGGCGCCCGAGTCGGACCCGCTCGTCGAGGAGGAGGAAGAGGCGGAGATCGCGGGCCTCGTCGCCGAGCGGCTCCAGTGCAAGAAGGACCGCGACTACGACCGCGCGGACGCCATCCGCGACACGCTGCGCGACACCTACGACTGCTTCGTCGACGACCGGAGCCGCCTCTGGTGCGTCGGCGCCGAGCCCCGGGACCCCCGGAAGCGCGACCGCGACCGGCCCTACGAGCGCCGCGGCGGCGGCGGCCTCTCGGACGCCGACGCGGCGAAGATCCAGGCCGACGTCGACGCGCGCGCGGCGGCCAAGGCGGACCGCAACTTCGACGTCGCCGACGCGATCCGCGACGCGCTCCGCGACGACTTTGGCGTTTCCATCGACGACCGGAGCCGCGAGTGGCGCGTCATGTCCGAGGACTACGCGCCGTCCCTGAACTCGGCGCCCCTCGACGCCGCGACGACGGCCGAGGTCGCGGCGCTGCTCAAGGAGCGCGCCGCCGCGAAGCGCGACCGCGACTACGGGACCGCCGACGACATCCGCGACCGGCTCCGCGACGACTTCGGCGTCACAATCGACGACCGCGTCAAGGAGTGGACCGCCGCGGGCGCGCGCGCGGCGCCGGCGCCGGCCGCCGCCGTCGAGGCGGAGGACGCGGGGCCCGCGTTCGCGATCCTCGACGACGACGACGGCGGCGACGACGACGACGTCGCGGTCGTCGGGGACGCCGCCGCGCCCGCCGCCGGCGGGGCCGCGCCGTCGGGCGACGACCTCGAGAAGTTCACGATCCCGGAGCTGAAGGACATCCTCCGCGACGCGGGCCTCAAGGTCGGCGGCAAGAAAGCCGAGCTCGTCGACCGCATCCTCGAGGCCCGGTCGGCCTAGGGTGGCGCATCATTCGTTCGTTAAGATGGCAAGGGAGCTCGTTCGTTCAGATTGCAAGGGGGCTATGGCGTTCGCTCTGAAGGCACACACGCTTGATTGCAGTCGTCGTTGAAGGCCTCGTTGATGAGGCAGCCCGCGAGAATTTGCCAGCTGTAATTATGGCTCTCGCTCTCCGGATCTTCGCGCTGCTCCTGCTGAGCGGCGTCGCCGCCGCGGCGAAGGACCCGCTGGCGCGCCAGGCCGAGGTCGCCGCGGCCAAGCAGAAGATCGCCCAGCGCCGGTCGGAGATGGAGGCCAAGTTCGGCGCCCGCGTGCGGGCGAACCCCGACGAGGTGGCCACGGGCTTCCGCGAGCCCGGCGGCCCGGCCGGCGCCGACGGCTCGGAGGTGCCCGTGGAGACGCGGCCCAAGGACGCGCCGAAGGCGGACAAGCACGCCAAGTTTTGGGAGAGCGCGCGGCACGCGGAATCCCAGGCCCGGAAGAAGAAGCTCGCGACGCCCAAGAAGGGCAAGCCGGGCCGGCGCGACGCGCCGGCGGCCGAGGAGGCCGCCGAGAAGCCGACGAAGAAGCTCAAGTTCGACCGCGAGGCCCTGCGCGCGGCGAGCGAGGCGAAGAAGCAGGCGCGCGCGGAGGCGCGCGCCGCCAAGTTCCCCGACCGGCCGTCCGCGGACGAGCTCCGGGCGAAGCGCGAGGCCGCGCGCCAGGAGGCCGACGAGATGCACGCCCTCTGGTGCGACGACAGCCACAGCTCCAGCGTCCTCTGCAAGAACTGGGCCGCCAAGGTCAACGGCGACAAGCCGTCCAAGGAGAAGCACGACGTCGACGAGTTCTGGCAGATGCACGAGACCTGGTGCGCCCTCGAAGCGAACAAGGGGAAGACGCCCTGCAAGAAGTGGGAGAACAAGGTCAAGCGCGAGACCGCGCGCGCGTCCAAGCGCAAGGCCGCGCCGCTCTGAGAAGAGGCGAATTCGTACAGCTTATGATGTACGGGGACTTCTTGGGGTCTTCTTTGACGCGCCTAGTAGCGGTCGCGGCGGTCGTAGTCGTCGCGGCGGCGGTCGCGGTCGTCGTAGCCGCCGCGGCGGTCGTCGTAGCCGCCGCGGCGATCGTCGTAGCCGCCCCGGCGGTCGCGGTCGTCGTAGCCGCCCCGGCGGTCGTCGTAGCCCCCGCGGCGGTCGTCGTAGCCGCGGCGGTCGTCGTAGCGGTCGCGGCGGTCGTAGTCGTCGCGGCGGCGGTCGTCGTAGCGGTCGCGGCGGTCGTCGTAGCCGCCCCGGCGGTCGTCGTAGCCGCCGCCCCGGCGGTCGTCGTAGCCGCCGCCGCGGCGGTCGTCGTAGCGCGGCGGCGGCGGGCGGTCGAAGACCTCGCGCTCGATGGTGATGCCGCCGGAGACCTCGACGGCGCGCGGCTTGTTGCGGCGGTCGTCGAAGATCACCTCGTACTCGACCTCGGCCTCCTTGACCAACGCGTTGCCTGAAATTGGTCTGTCAGAGCGCGGCGCGGAGCGACGGCGTTTCTCGGAGAATCCGCGGGCGGCGCGGAGCGACGGCGTTTCTCGGAGAATCCGCGGTCCGTTTCGGCCCGTATCGGCGGAGGGGCGGTCGATCGAGTCGGCGCGCGAGCATCGACGCCGCGGGCGCGCCGTCCCGGATCTGCGAGCAGTGGCAGAAGAGGTCGTCGCCGCCGTCTTCCCTGTGCGCGCGTCGAGTGGGCACGCGCGGAGGTTTCGACGCGAGACGCCGGCGCGCGCGCGCGGATGAAGCCGAAGCCGCGCGGGTTCCAGCCGGCGCAGATGCCCTTCTTGCGCTCGCCGCCCTGGCCGCCGAACTCGGCTACGCCGCCCTCCTTCGGCCGGTCGCCGTTCTCGCGCGGCGGCGAGCGCGACCGCGAGCGCGACTTCTCGCGCGGCGGCTCCGTGTCGCCCATCCTGATGGTCGAGCGAGAGCGCGAGACGGCGGCGAAGCGCTCAAGGTAGTATTGCTTTGGCTCGCCGCGGTTTGGGCGCGAACGAGGGCTCGACGATGTGGTGCGGCAGCTCCTTGGCATCCGCTGTCGGCGACGCGATTCTTATTATTATTATGGGTGCTTTAACGTGGGACTAGGACGGCGGCCCGTGGGCGGCCGTCGGCGCACGCGGATCAGGTCGGAGATCGGGAGGATCACGCAGCCGAGAGCCGAGGTGTTCAGGTAACCGGAAACGCCCGCCCAAGGCGAAGCCAGTTGAGGAGGCCCGTCTGTCAGCCCCTCACAACGGACTGGACGGTGGGAAGCCGCGGTAGCAAGTCGTCGAGGGACCCCGCGGGCTGGAGATCAATCGACGGCCGTCGGAGACGGCGGGGGGAGCGTGGCGAGCCAAGCCAGGGGAGATACCCCTGCCGAGGCGGACGAGGCCGCGCTCCAAGATAGCGGAAGGGAGAGACGGAGGGGGCTCGCTCCCCGGCACCGGGCAGGGCCGGAGTCAGTGACCGGGGACGAGCGGGGGAAAGAGGGGGAAGAAGAAGAAAGGGGGGGCCAGCCGCCGCGCGCCGCGGGGCGGGGCGATCCGCCGGCCGAGGCCCCGTGAGTCTATTGGTCGGACGAGCGCTCGCGCAGGCGTCGGCGGGCGCCGCTCCGTCCGGAGCCCTCCGCGCGAAGCTCGTGCGCGCGCCACGCGGCAGAGGCGCGGTCGCCCAGGTGGACGAATTCTATTTGATTTAACCCACATTTGGCGTCGACATTGGCGGACAATCGGGCGGGAGGCGGGGGCGATGCGGCGCGGCGGCCGCGATCGGAGGTTTTGCGTGCGATCGTATCGTTCGTGCTCGCGCATACTACCTCCGAGGTATCCTAAATGGGATTTCGTGAGACGGATCAACAACAAACAAAAGGGGTGCTGAGAATCGACTCGTTCGAGCTCTAGAGCTCAAACAAGCTCACAACCGATGCCCTCCATGGAATTCATAATGCTGCTACACCACCTGTGGCTGTCGGGCCGGGTTATGGTAATTTTATGTTGAACTTCACCACACCCATGTTGCAGTTATGGACATCGAGTGGTCCATATGAGCCATTCGAGGCGCCTAGAGCACCGGACAAGCCGCTCCATCGGTCTCCGAGCACATCCGTGAAGCCCTGCGGCCCACACACTGCCCGGCGGCGGCTGCTGACGACCACAGGTTACTTCAACATAGGGCTGCCTATTCAACTTGAACTTCAACATGGGGCTGGGCCGCGCTCGTTTCGGCCACTCTTTTGCTCCAGAAACGTTGGAATAGAGCAGAACTTCATGCGGATGCATTCATCCAACGTAATTGCACGTGTTTTATGATCGACTAATCGAATTTGGTTGATCCGTCTCACGAAATCCCATTTAGGATACCTCGGAGGTAGTATGTGCATGGTGTCGGGGGAGTCGGGGGCTATGTGCGCACGCGCCGTGGTGGCGCGCGACGCGGCTCGCTCGGGACGTGCCGGTTATCACGCGGCGTCCGCTTCTAGAAGACGGGGAGCGAGTGGAAGTCGACCTCCTCCGTGAAGGTGTTCATGACCTTGGCCCAGGCGGCATCCGAGTCGTAGATCTTGGGCTGCGCGCGGCGCGCGGGGTCGAGGCGGCGAGGGGAGCGCGCGGGGGGGGCGGGGGGACGCACCGACGACGGCTGCGAGAGGATGACGGGGCTGTCGAAGAGCCGGAGCGCCTCGTCCTCGGCGTCGTCGACGATGGCCGGGCGCGGCGACGCGCGCTCGACGTCCGGGCGCGGCGACCCGTGCTCGACGTCGACGGGGCCGCCCGACGGGGAGAAGAGCGCCTCGGCCGTGAGCGCCGACGGCCGGAGCCGCGCGAGCCGGCCCGGCGGGCGCGGCGGCGAGAGGATGCGCACGGCCTCCTCGAGGTTCGCGGCCGTGTCGCCGGCGACGAAGCCCTCGCTGAGGTCGAGGCGCGAGCCGTGGATCGACGGCTCGGGCGAGTTCGACATCGACGGCTGCGGCGTCACGCGGTGCACGGCGGCGGGCGCCTTCTTGGTCTCCTTGACGACCTTGAGCTGCTTCTCGCGCCTGGGTAAAACGACGCGTCGAGGCGGTCGAGTCCGCGCGCGCCGGGCCCGAGGGGGGAAAAAACGACCGATTCTGACGGCCGCGGACGCGGGCGCGCGCTGCTTCTTCTCCTTGATATAATGCTTCTGGGCGTGGCTCCGGCACTGGAGCGTCGACCGCGTGCCGACGGCCTGCGGGGGGGATGCGTGAATACGCGCGCGCGACGGCTCGGGGGGTTCTCGAGAAAACGGTTGGGCGACCTCGCGAGGCCGCCGGACGCGGGCGCGCGCCGCGGCGATGGCGCCCCACTTCTCGCGCCGCGCGCTCTGGTTGACGGGCGCGTTGTTGCCGTCGACGAAGTCGGCCATGGCGACGATGAAGCGGTCGTGCTCGTCGTCGTCCCAGCGGCCCTCCTTGAAGCCGGTTACTTTCTCCTCTTCGGCGTCTGCGGCCGGCGCCTTGGGCTTGGCGGCGACCTTGGCGCGGCGGGACGACTTGGAGCGGGATTTAGTCATAATTTTAGCTGGTTTTCACTGAGGGGCGTGTGCCGAAGCGCGAGTCGGGGACGCGTGAGCGCGTCTGTCTGCCAGCTGACTTCGGTGCAACAACTCCTCGTGGTTGAAGCCGTCTGACCAAATCACAGCTTTGTCCCATACCACCTCGGTCCGTCGTCTGGCAACACCGCCCCGGGGCTCCATGGGGACTTCCGCAGCGCTATCGCACAACATCCAGACGCAAACACCTTCCCAAGCACGCATCCACCACTAACCACGACGAAACGCGAACACCACAAGAAAACTACACAATCTTACTGCACGAGCGACGGCCCGACGCTGTTCCCGAGCTTGCCCTTGTAGGCCGCGAGGGTCCCGTGGCCGCGCGTCCGCGCCGGCTCCTCGACGAACGCGACCTTCTTCTTCGCCTGGGTGCCGCCGCGGTCGACGGGCGCGTCGCGGAAGTGGATGGACCCGAGCGCCCGCTTCGCGCGCTCCATGTCGATGGCGTTCGCGATGAGCGAGGCCCGCGTCGACGCGCGCCGGTAGTCCTTCGAGTGCTCCTCGAAGGCCTCGGCGGCGCGGTAGGCCAGCAGGACATCGTAGACCCGCCCCTTGAGCGAGTCGTGGTGGCGCCAGCGCGGGGGCCGCGAGTCCCCGTCGCCGAGGAAGGACCGCGCAAAGCCCGGCGGCCGAAAAAAGGCCATGAGCGGCCACTTGCGCAGCCCCGGGTCCTGGGGCACGAGCGCCGACGCCCTGCGGTGGATGTCGTCGAGCGCCAGCAGGCGAAAGGCCTCCGTGCCGCTGTAGGTGCGCGACGCCGCGTGGTGCGCGCGCCGCGCCTCCTCGGACCAGCGCGCCCGGTGCTCCGCGCGCAGGTCCCGCAGCAGGATGACGATCTGCTCCTCGCGCTGGGGGTCCGCGTGCGCCAGCGCGGCCCCCGCGACGTCGCGCACTAGAGCCGGGTCGAGGTGGCCCGACGACGGCGCCTTGAGGACGCCCTTGCGGACCAATCGGTCGCGGACGACGTCCATGCGCTCCGAGACCTTGTCCCACGCGTCGTCGTCCCGCAACAATTGGCGCGCGCCGACCTACGCGGAACGTCGACAAAAGCACGCGGGGCGGGGGGGGGGGACGCCGCCACCAGACATAATGCTCCTCCTCGCCGTCCTCCTTGCGCTTGCTCCTCGGCTTCCGCTTCTTCTTCTTCTTCGTGAGCGCGCCGTGCTCGTCCTCGCACCGGAGCCAGAGGAGCCGCAGCACGGCGACGCGCGCCGTCGTGCACGCGGCGAAGTCGCGCACGCCGCGCTGCATGGCCCGGGCGGAGCGGTGGATGCGCGCGGACGCGTGCTTGAAGCGGCGGAACCGCTCCGTCGCCGCGAAGAACCAGGCGACGCGCCGGAGCGCGCGCCGCTTCCGCTGGATGCGGATCTGCAGCAGCAGGCGCATGTTCTGGCCCGCGGCCCGCGCGAGGCGCGCGCTGTAGTAGATGAGGTCCCGCGCGACGCGGCCGCGCCGCGCCTTCTGGATGGTCATCGCGGACTTGAGCCGCTCCGCGGCCGCGGCCTCGCGCGCGCGGTGGCGTCGCAGCCCCCGCTCCAGCGCGAGGCCCACGGCCGCCCGGGGCACGAGGCCGAGCCAGAGCCGGCAGGCCGCGTCGCGCTCGATCTTGGCCACGCGCCGCGCGTCGCGCGCGCGCGCCTCCGCGGCCGCCTGCGCCTCGCGTTCCGACCTGTGCCGAATTCAAATCTTCAACCCGACTTCAATGTGAGCGTATGCGACAGTTTCGACGCAACTTCTTCGGTTTTGCTTCGAGAACTCGACGAGAGCAATTGATTCGTCCAAAAATCAGCCGAATCGACTTCGATTTGACCGAGCTAGAGAATTCTGAAGTTTGGTCAGGACCACCCAAACCAGTGGTTGAATTCGGCACAGGCTCCGACCGCCGGAGCCGCGCCTGCTCCGCCTTCCGCGCGCCGAAGTCGCCCGCGCTCGCGGACTTGCCGAGCGTCGCCGGGTGGGCGTCGCGCTCCCTCTTCGCGCGGCGCCGCTGCTCGTCGCGCGACAGCGCGGGCGCGCTCTCCGCGCGGAGCAGCCTGCTCGTCGACTGCGCGGACGCCAGGCTCCCGCGCCGCGAGTCCGCGCGGGCGACGGACCCGCGCCGCGGCGCCTCGACGACCGTGCCGCGCCGCGGCGCCGCGGTCGCGCGCGGCGCCTCGGCGGGCGCGTCGGGGAAGAGCTTCCGCTGCGAGTACTTGTCCGGCGACGCGGCCCACGCGACCGCGGGCTCCGCGGCCTCCGCGGGCTCCGGCGGCGGCCGGCGCCCCGCGGGCGCCGACGCGGGCCGCGGGGCCGGCTCGGCGCCGGGCGTCAGCGGCTCCAGCGCGCTCCCGCGCGGCGACGCGGGCGCCCAGTCGTCGAAGCCGTGCTTCTTCGCGGACGCGGGGCCGTCGAAGGAGCAGCGCATGCCGTAGGGCGACGCCGGATCGGCGACGAGCTGGAAGGGCATGTGGGCCTCCCTGCCCTCGGCGGCGGCGGCCTCCCGGAGGCTCTTGGCCTCCTGCTCGTGCTGCTTGAGCTTCTTCTTCAGGAGCCGCCGCAGGCGCTTCTCGTCGAACTCGGAGTTGCTGTGGGCGCGCAGGAGCTTCGCGCTCAAGCTCCGCGGCGCCTTCGTCGGCGTTCTCGTGGCCGGCGCCGACGACGGCCGCCGGAGGGCCATGGAGCCTGCTCAGGGCAAGGAGAGCAGCCCCATCGGGGAGCGCTGCGATCGAGTTGCACTCGTCATTGAACAATTATTGAACCTGCTCTCCGATGGTGAGTGGCCTATAAGCTGCCCACCATGAGCTCCTTCAAGGACTTCGTCGCCGCGCGGCGCAAGGCGAAGCAGGCGGCGGGGCCGGCGAAGAAGCCCGTCGCGGCGGCCAAGCCCGCCGCGGCGGCGACGCCGAGTCCCGTGCTCAGCGCCCTCGCTGACGCGCCGCCGCCGCCCGTCGTGGGCGAGGCGAACGGCCTCGACGCGCTGGCGCCCCTCGTGCGCGCGCGGTCGCCGGGCGCGGCGCTCGTCGACCCGTCGTCGCTGCCGGAGACGCCCTACCTCGACTCCGCGTCGCCCGAACTCGCGAAGGCGCTCAAGGCCTCCGGCGACCCCAAGGCCCTGCTCATGGCCGAGGCCTGGCTCAGCACGCAGGGCGCGCCGCCGGCGCCGCCCAAGCCGACGCCGCCGCCCAAGGAGCTGAAAGCGACGCGCAAGACGCGGGTCCTGCTGCTCTGCTACTCGAACAACTTCATGTACGACCGCGACCGGAACAAGAAATGCGTCTGGAACTGGTCGTCGCGCGCGACGGGCGCCCTCGTCTGCAAAAGCGCGGCGTCCTTCTTTCACGGGGGTCCTTCAAAACTCGTGCTCGCTAGGCACGAACGCGCTGGCGCGCTACCTGTCGACGTGGGCGTCGCTCGACGTGCTGACGGTCGACGGCGAGCAGCACCGCTACGAGGACCACTACCCCGACGGCCAGCCCCGCGTCGACATGTGGGAGGACCTGTCCATCATGCGCGGCACGCCCACGGCCGTCGACGCGCTCGTGGAGGAGCTCGACCGCACGGGCGCGCCCATGAGAGCCAAGTACATGGAGGGCACGGGCATGAAAGGCTCTTACGAAATGAACAACGCCGAGTGGGACGTCTGCGTCATGGCGACGGTCGACGCGCGGCTCGCGCGCATGGCCACGAGCAAGCTGCCCGCGGGGCGCTGCTTCGCGTTCGTCCACGAGCAGCTCGGGTTACCGTACGGCGCGTGGTCCAAGGCCTTCGTGGAGAAGGTGTCGACGATCACGCAGGAGACGCTGCCCGTGCGGGGCGTGCTCATCCGGACGGGCAGGAAGGAGCGCGACTTCAAGGAGGCGCTCGCCGCGGACCTCCAGGCCGTGGAACTACTCTGCACGTCCGAGTACGTGAAGAGGTACGTGCTGGCCTGGGCCCCGGAGGGCCAGGTCGCGCACTGCTGCTACGCCGCGGACTACGGCCTCTTCGACGGCGCGCCCATCCCGCGGCTCGAGCCCTGGAGGGTGCGCGCGACGGCGCGGGGGCCGGACCGGGACGCGCGCGCGACGGCGAAAAAGCCGGAGGCGCTCGACGAGACGCCGCACATGTACGCGACCGTCGTGTCGCCCTGCAAGGCCAAGGGCATCGACTTGTTCATCGCCATCGCGGAAAAATTACCACACGTGCCCTTCCTCGCCGTCGTGACGAAGTGGACCAAGGACGCGGACAAGGCGCGGCTCGCCGATCTCCGGAACGTGCGCTTATTGCCGGGCGCGCCGTCGGAGAAGATGGACGCCGAGGTCTGGCGGCGCACGCGCATCCTCATCGCGCCGTCGCTCTGGCCCGAGCCCTTCGGCCTCGTGGCCATCGAGGCGTCGCTCCGGGGCATCCCGGCCATCTCCACGGACGTCGCGGGCCTCCGCGAGGCGAACGTCAACGCCGAGTTCGTCGTGCCGACGCCCCTCGTGCACGACGTCGAGATCGACGCGACGTACCGTCTCGACGATGGGCTGGAGGCGTTCGAGAAGCAGCGGCCGGCGCTCGTCGCCGACATCCAGGGCGACGCGCGGCCGCCGGGGTGCCCCGCGGCGACGAGCCGCGAGGCGGACGACGGCGACGTGCGGAAGGTCGCGACCAAGTTCGTCAAGCTCATCGAGCCCCTCATGAGCACGACGGAGAGCGCGCCGCTCCGGGCCGCCTGCGCGCGCGCGCGCGAACGGGCCTGGGCGCACCTCGACGCGCGGCGCCACGCGATGCCCGCGCTCTTCCGGGAGGGCCTCGACGAGTAAGGCCGCCTAGATTTGACGCCGGCGTGTCTGTCGCACCGCCTCCCGCTCAACACGGCGGTGACGACGCAGTGAGGGCCGGACCGGCGACCCCCGGCCAGGGCGGGCGTCCGCGGCCGAGCGTTCGCCTCGTCCTCGTACCACTTCGGCATCTCGTCGTCGCGCGCGTGCTCACGCTATCACGCACTACTACACATGGCATCGCTTCCCCGAGAGGTGCTCTCAGTGGTCCTCGAGTTCCTGCCTTGCCACGACCGCAGAATGCTCACGCGCGTCGACCGCCATGCTCGTTCTGTGAAGCCCAAGTTGTCTGCCTGCGGCGGCGTCGGTTGCCTGCGGGCGGCGTGCGTTCGGCCAACTGGGGCCAACTGGGAGGTCATCTTCAGTGCCGCGGCGTTCCGCGACCTGCCGACGGAGGAGCAACACACACACACGACGGAAAATCACGACGAAGAAGAATCAGATCGCGAGGAGGATACCGACGAGTACGCACTCGCAAGCGCGACGCGGGCGTGGGCGGAAAGGTACGTGCGCCCCGTGCTGACGCGCCCGCTGACGGAGCTCGTGCTGCCGTTCATCGCTAGGCCGGCGGTGATCCTGGCGTTTCTCCGGGAAATCCGCGCGGAAGTGTGTGTCGTAAACTTTACTTCCACGGCAGAAGGCGATGAGAATGCTTCCTGGAGCGTGAACGAGCTGTACCACATCTCTGGTGGCACTCGAAAGCCATGCCCACTCGTGCTCCAGCCGCCGAGCGAAGGAGTTTCTGCACTGATCTTCGCGGTGCGGCCTCCGGATTGGGACAAAGTTCTGTACCAAGTGCCGCGCCTGAAGTATTTGTCGATGCTCTGCGGTCCCTGGGATCGCTACGCGCAGTTCTCCAAAGCGCTTCGTCTCGTGCCGAACCTCACCTTCCTCAATATTGGTATCAACGGAGGCGCTCTTTGTGCGGATGATACGGAGCCTCGACGATCTATGCCCGTGCACAAAGTCCTTGAGCACGCCAAAAATGTGGAAGTACTTCGCTCGATTGAGGGCTTTCATTTTAGCATCGATGTCGTTCGCAAGCTGAAGCGCACCTGCTGCCCTCGTCTTCGCGAGATGCACACGGACATGTACAACATCGAGGCGGTGGTGGCCCCATGGAACTTGAACTGGCAGTGCTGCAAGAAGAAGGTCATCCCGGATTGCGACGGCGTCATCTGGATCCCCAAGTAAGCATAGGCGTGTAGTCATAAGAGACTCCCATAGATAGAACGTGCGTCTCCGGCTAGATGACGAGCGTCCGACTCTAGCGTCCGACCGGTAAGTTTTAGATGACGAAGGTCCGCCCGGCCTTGGGCTTGGGCGCCTTGGCCTGGAGGCCGCCCTCCCAGGCGGCGAGGTTCGGCCCGTCGACGAACCCGTGGCGGAAGTCGTAGAGCAGGTCCGGCCGCGAGCCGCCGAGGGCGACGAACTCCGCGACGTCGCGCGCGCGCTTGTACTTCTCGTAGCGCGCCCAGGACTTGGACTCGAGCTTCTTCGGGTTCTGCTGGAGGTAGGCGATGGGCCCCGCGGGCAGCGACTTGGACGCCGCCGCGCCGGCCGGCGGCGGCGGCGTCGGCCCGCGCGCGGCGCGCGGCGACGGCGCCTTGGGCGCGGGCGACGGCCGCGGCGCCGCGCGCGGCGGCGCCGCGGGCGGCGGCCGCGGCGCCTTGGCCGGCGACGGCCGCGTCGGCGCCGCCGTCGTCCGCGACGCCTTGGCCTTGGCCCGCGGCGCCGCGCGCGGCGACCGCGCCGCGCGCGGCGACGCGGGCCGCGCGAGCGGCGCGTTGGCGACGACGTTCGCGGCGAGCGCCGCGGGCGGCGCGGCGTACATGTAGTGGGGCGCCGGCGCGCCGGCGGCCGGCGGCCGCGGTGCGGCGGCGCCGTCCCGCCGCGCGGCCGCTCACGCCGGGGGCGCCTACGACGGTCCGCTCGATCGCGCGCCGGTCGCCCGTCGGCTGGAGCCCCAGGAACGCGCGGCAGGCCGGCGCGTTGCCCAGGTGGGCCGCGCGGCCCTGCTGCGTCGCGAAGGTGCGGCCGCAGCCCTCGCAGGTGAGCTTGGGCACGGCGGAGACGCCCATGCGCGCCTTGGCGCTCGTGATGTCGGCCTTGGCGAGCGACGGGCGGCCGTCCGCGCGCGGCACCTCCCACTTGGGCTGCAGGGGCGCGACCGGCGGCGGCGCGGGCGGCGGCGGCGGCAGCGCCCGCGCCGACGGCGGCGCGTCGCCGGAGCAGACGCCGCAGGTCCACGTCCTCTTCGCGTCGGCGCAGCACGCCTTGTGGCACGCCGCGAAGCCGCAGACGCCGCAGACCTTGTCCGCGCCGCTCCGCGCGCAGAGGTCGCAGTCGCGGTCGCCTAAAACCTTGCGCTTCGACCCCTTGGGCTTCTTCTTTTCGGGCCCGGCGCCGGGCTCCGCGGGCGCGCGGCGCTTCGGCGGCCGCGCCGCGGACCGCGGCGGCGCGGCGACGGGCGGCCGCGGCGGCGGCCGCCGCGCGCGCGGGCCGTCGACGAGGAGCGTGTGCTCCGGGAGCGGCTCCGAGCCGCTCTCGGACGCCTTGGCGGCCCGCTCCAGCGCCGCGGCCTCGGCCTCGATGACCCTCGCGGGCTTCGCGCCGAGGCGCTCCTTGAAGTAGCCGCGCGACGCGGACCGCGGCACGGCCGTGGCCATGGACCAGCCCGCGGCCTTGCGCTCCTCGCAGGAGTCGCAGAACCAGTCGCCCTCGGGCGTCGCCGCCAGCCCGAGGCAGAACGTGTGCGCCGTCGCCGTGCACCGCCCGTCGATGCCGTCGCAGAGCAGCAGGTCGTCCGCGGACGCGTCCGTGCCGCAGTAGTCGCAGGGGTGGATGCGCGGCTCGGCCCAGCGGAAGACCGTGCCGTCGACGTGGTCCAGGTAGCCGTTGCAGACCTCGCCGATGGACCCGTTGAGCCGCGAGCCCTTGCCGAAGAGCTCGCGCGCCGCCGCGTTCGCGGACTTGTACTCGTTGACGACCTCCTTGCCGTCCATCTCGACGACGGCCTTGGAGCCCGAGTTCAGCCAGGGCACCTCCGTGATGTAGCGGAAGTAGTGGCCCTGGGCGCAGGGCGCGATGCCGTTCGTGACGTGCGTGACGGAGCACGCCGCGAGGCCGAGCTTCCGCGCGGCGTCGCTCGCGGAGCAGTAGACCTCCAGCTCCGCGCCCGTCTTCTTGTCGTAGCGCGCGATGGCCCGCGTGCGGCCGCTGCGGCAGTAGCAGTTCGGCCGGCCGGACGTGCAGGGGACGACGCGCTTGGCCGCGGGCCCCGTCGTCGGCACGGGCGCGGCGTCGCCGAGCAGCGCCTCGACGACGGCGGCGCCCTCGTAGTGGACGATGCACGTCTTCCAGACCGTGTGGGGCAGCGTCACGGTCCGCGAGAAGCCCACGCGCTTGAAGAAGGAGAAGGCCTTGAAGTCCGCGTACGTGAGCACGCCGACGGCCTCGTGGCGCTCGCGGCAGTGCTTCTGCACCTCCGTCATCAGCTTCTTGCCGAGCTTCTTGCCCTGGCAGGCGTGCTCGACGGCGAAGAGGGCGAGCTCGACGAACTTGACGACGGACCCGTCCTCCTGCTCGGGCGACGCGCGGCCGCCGAAGATCGAGCCGCCGACGAGCTCCGCGACCGTCGCGTCGTCGCGCCGCGGCGCCACCATGGCGACGGCGTCGTAGGTCGCCGTCTTCAGCAGGTCCGGCGCGTCGATGTTCGGGATGTAGACGCTCAGGAGCTTGAGCAGCGACCGCACGCGGAGCGCCGCCGGATCCGAGCGGTCGACGTCGCGGACGACGGACGCGCACTCACCCTGCGCGTAGAGCTCGAAGCGGATGGCGTCCAGGTCGAGCTCGGCGACCTGCGCGCGGGGGGGTCGGGGGTGGACGCGCCGGCCCCGCGCGCGCGCGGATTCGCGTCGACCCGAAAGTGCACAGTTTCGCGCGTTCGCTGCGACGTATGGGTCCGACTCTTCCACCGGCGCGGGCGGCGCGGGCGCCAGGAAGGGCGTCGGCGGCGGCGGCGGCGGCACGGAAGTCACGTCCATGCCGTCCATCGCGGCGAAGCCGTCGCGCCGCTCCGGCGCCCAGGTCCTGCGGCTGCGGATCGGTGCGCGCCTGCGCGATGGCTTTCGCTTCGGCGGGCCTGCCCGGGCAGTCGAGCTTGCTGCTGTTGCTCGCGATGAGCTTGCTGCGGCGCGATGAGCTTGCTGCGGAGCGCGATGAGCTTGCTGCTGTTGCTCGCCGGCAGCGGCGCCCGCGAGGGCGTCCCGGCGATGCGGATGCTCGACGAAGGGGAGTGTGGTGGCAGGCTGATCCTCGACCTCCAGCCAAACGAGATCCGCTCGGGTCAGCTGGACCCGGGCGCCGTCCAGGTCCTCGTGCACACGATGCGGCGCTGCGGGGTCGTCGCGGTCTCGCCGGGGGTCCGGCCGGAACGCATCGCGGAGCTCCGCGTCGCGCTGGATGACGAAATCATGGCTCCGATCGTCGAGTCGCGCCGGCGGGTGCGGGGCGCGATCCGTCGCGCCCTCGCTGCCAACCGGACTCTGGAGCAGATCGTGCGAGGAGCCGGCGGAGAACAGCTCTGTGCCGAGCCTGTGCTGGCGAGCGGTGCGAAATACAAAGAGCGCTCTCCCGGTCGCATCGACTACATGCTGCCGTGGCAAGCGCCGTTCAACAGGACGTGGCTGACTGTGAATCCGCTGGTCCTGCCGATCATCTCAGCGCTCCTGGGCGACGTGGAGCTGAGCGCAGGTCGGGGCGCCGAGCTCAAATCAGTGCACGTGGTTTACGCGCTCCCGCATGCGCCGGAGCAGCCGTGGCACCGCGACCAGCCGATTTTGTTCGATGGGGAGGACTGGGACGACGACGACGCTGCGGCAGCTCAAGCCGCAGAGAGGCACTTGTTGACGCAGCAGCGCGGCGGCCGCCGGGCTCCGGCACACGGCGGCAAACAGGCACAGGCACCCATTTGGGCGCCGTACACGCCGGCGTTCGCCCTCAACCTCTTCATTCCTCTGGTAGACACTCACAGCGTGCAGGCCGGCCCGACCGAGTTTGGCTTGGGCACCCACCGCTTTCGGTCCACCGCCTTTCAATCCGAGTCCACGCTCACGTTCAACGAGGACGCGGGGCACTTCATCATCTCGGACTACCGCACCGTGCACCGCGGCTTGCCCAACAAGCTGAACACGTCCCGGCCGATGCTGATGCTGGTCTACGGCCGTGGCTGGTGGCACGACAACTTCAATTACAATGCTGCCGCCACGACGCGGGAGCCCGGCCGTGCGGGTGACCCGTCGTCGGACGCGCAGCTCTCCGCGCCCGAGGCGGGGGTGTTGAGGCGAATGCTGGAGGCGGCGCTGCTCCGGCGCGAGACCGTTCTCGAGCGCTGCCACGCGACCCTGCAGCTTTTGCTGGCCAATTCCTGGAAGGACCTGGGCGCCACAGCACCGCCGGATTCACCGCCGCCGTCGGGTGCAGAGGAGCTGTAGGCTAGGGGGGGGGCGAGCTCGGCGCCGGCTAGCCTAGCGTGAGGTCTAACGAGGCCATGTGGATTCAACATGCCTTCAACCATGTGCGAGGATTACAGCCTAGTTAGTTATGAACATAATAATGGCTAGGGTTACAGCGATTCTGCCACACCGTGGGCCAAGCGTATGATCGGGTGCAAAGTAGGCCTTGACAGCACGGAAGCGCCGCTCATATAGCACCATGCTCCGCGTCAAGAGCAAGAGGGTCACGTCCTCGGCGTCGTCGTCGAACCTCAATGCGCACGGCTCGAGCGGGTCGCTGACGGAGGAGGACCGGTCGGCGAAGGTCCTCGTGCTCCTCACGGGCGGCACGATGGCCATGAAGCCGAACGCGCACGGCTCGCTCGAGCCCTGCGCGGGCTACCTCGCCGTGCAGATGCGGCTCATGCCCGAGCTGCGCGAGCGGCGCATGCCGGCCTACGAGGTCGTCGAGTACGCGCCCTTGCTCGACAGCGGCGACTTCGTGCCCGGCGACTGGAAGCGCATCGCGACGGACATCGCCGACGCGCACGAGCGCTACGACGGCTTCGTGGTCATCATGGGCACGGACACGATGGCCTACACGTCGTCGGCGCTGTCGTTCATGCTCGAGGGGCTGCGGAAGCCCGTCGTGCTGACGGGGTCGATGGTGCCCTTCGCGGAGGCCTACAGCGACGCGCGGCGCAACCTGGTCATGGCCATGATCTTCGCGGCGAGCGGCGGCCAGGTGCCCGAGGTCTGCATCTTCTTCGGCGAGAAGCTGCTCCGGGGCAACCGCGCGACGAAGGTCGACGCGCTGTCGCTCGGCGCCTACGGATCGCCGAACTTCCCGCCCCTCGCGACGGTCGGCGTCGCGCTGAACTCGCGCTACGACCTCGCGCTGCGGCGGGGGCCGGGCGAGGCGGCGACGTGCCGCGCGTTCACGGACATGGAGACGAAGATCCTCGTCTTCCGCATGATCCCGGGCTTCGACGACGCCGCGCTGCACCGCTGCCTCGAGAGCCGCGAGCTCAAGGCCGTCGTCCTCGAGCTCTACGGCACGGGCACGGCGCCCGCGCGGCGCGTCGGCTTTATCGCGGCGCTCCGCGTCGCCGCGCGGAACGGCGTCCTCGTCGTCGCGACGACGCAGTGCCTCCGCGGCGGCGTCGTGCTCTCGACCTACGAGGTCGGCCGCCAGCTCGAGGAGGTCGGCGTCGTCGCCGCGGGCGACATGACCACCGAGGCCGTGGCCACGAAGCTCGCCTACCTCTTCGGGCGCTACGGCGGCGACGCGGACAAGGTCCGGAGCCTCGTCGGCGTGAGCCTCCGCGGCGAGCTCAGCCACGTCGACACGTACCTCCGGCCCTTCTGGGAGAAGACGAAGCTCCTGGCCAAGGACAATTCGCGCACCGTCCTCCTCGCGCCGCCGCCGCACGCGCGCGCGCGGAGCGACTCGAACGCGGAGCTCGCCGTCGTTCCGAAGACGCCGCCGCCGCCGCCGCCGCCGCCGCCGCCGTCGCGGGCCGCGGACCTCGCCGCGGGCCTGGGCCTGGGCCTCGCCTGCGCGCTGGTCCTCGCGCGCGTCCGCGCCTAACTCGGGATTACCTTCGCCAGCTCCTCCGGGTCCTCGTAGGTCGACCGCCGTCGTCGGCGCACGGCGAGCCCCGCGACGACGGCGCCGCCGACGCCGAGGATGAAGATGGCCGCGGCGGCGACGACGATCGCGAGGTCCGCGCCGTCGCCGCCGCTCGACGACGACGATCCGCAGACGGCGCACGCGGACGCGTTCCAGGAGCGGCGGAACTCGGCGCCGCCCGGCGCCGCGGCGTCGCGCAGGTCGACGACGCCCCGGGCGTCGAGGAAGGCGAGGCCCGCCGCGAGCGCGCGCGGCGCGTCGGCGATCGCGTGCGCGTCGCCCGCGAGGATCTCCACTTCGACGGCGCCGCCGTAGGTCGCCGCGACGTACTCGGAGTTGGCGACGTCGTTCGTCGGGTCGCCGTCGTTGTGCGCGACGTAGAGCGGCGCGGACGCGGCGGCCCAGACGTCGGCCGCGTCGTCGAGGACGTCGACGCCGTCGACGGTCGGCGCGAACGCGAACGCGCCGTCGACGGCCGACGAGACGTCGAGGTGCGCGAGCGTCGCGTCGTGGGCGCCGTCGGGCGCCAAGACGTCGCGGTACGCGGCCTCGTCGCCGAGGGCCGCCATCGCGACGGCGGACGTCGCGCCCGCGGAGTTGCCCGCCGCGAGCACGCAGTCGAGCCCCAGCGCGCCCCGCGCGTGGCGCGCGGCGGCCCGCGCGTCGCGGATCGCGGCCCACATGGCCGCCGGCGAGGGCCGCCAGGAGTTGCCGAAGCGGTTCGCGTAGCCGTCGCCGAAGCCCTCCGGCGCGAGGCCGTCGTCGCGGCGCAGCCGGTAGTCGACCGCGATCGCCAAGGCGCCGCGGCTCGCGAAGAAGTCGGCGACCTCCATGGACCAGCAGTCGGCGCAGGCGTCGTTGCGCACGTAGCCGCCGGCGTGGATGATAATCACGGCGACCGGACTCGCCGGCGGGCAGGCACCACCGCAGGTCGGCCGGTGGACGACGAAGTCGAGCCGGCGCACGGCGCAGCCGTCAGCATCGCACGCCTCGAGCGCGTCGCCGTAGGTGCCGCCCTCGACGACGACGGGAAACGTCGCGTCGCGCAGCAGCGTTGCCGAGTCGCAGGGCATCGATCAGGCCGAATCGAGCGCCATGCTTCCGCCTCGCCTTCAATAGATCTTCAAGGACGACCTTGAGATCTTCACGATAGCCGCCAAAATTCGAGCGTGCGATGCCCGCGCGATGTACAGCCTGCACGCGATCCTCGCGCTCGCCGTCGGCGCCGCGGCCTTCGGCAGCAGCTCCAGCGCCACCTCCTCCGAGGACCTCGAGAGCATCGAGGCGACGCTGGACCACGTCGAGGAGATGGTGCGATCCCGCGTCCAAACGCTGCCCCGCACACCCGCCTCGCAGCCCCTCCACACTGCGCCTCGCAGGTCTACAACCACACCTACACGCCGTCCGCGCCCATCGGCACCACGACGCTCGGGCACGGCGTCGACCCGGACGACTACTCGACCTTGGACGACTACCAACTGCCCATGCGCCGCCGCCTCGAAGACGGGGAGAGCCTCGGCGTGCTCGGCCTGGGCTCGGCCGACTTGAACCTGTTCGAGCGCGCGGGCTTCGTCGTGCCGTTCGACTGGGAGTGCCAGACCGGCACGAGCGGCGGCGTGTACCCGTGCCCGAACGGCATCCCTTCGACGTGCCGCGCGAACACGGGCGGCGTGTCGTCGGCGTGCGCCAAGTGCTACTGCGAGGTCGGGAGCCACACGTGCTGCCAGTACTACAGCGAGAACAACACGTACTCGGAAGACGGCTACTGGTACGGGGGCTTCGAGTGCCCGTCGGCGCTCCTCAGCGGCGGCGAGCTCGTGACGGACTCGGCGGTCAACTACTGCGAGGTCGGCGACGCCGTCTCCGCGCTCTACGACGACGGCGAGTCCTACTCCGCGAATATCACCGAGGTGACGGGCAGCGATATCACGGTCACGTACTCGGACGGCGACACGTCGACCTACGACCTCACGGAGTCCGGCAACGTGGTGCAGACCGCGAGCGGCGCGGACTGCGTCACGACCTGCGACTCGTCGACGCTCGACACGGAGGTCTGGGGCAACCAGTGGTGGAACGACCCCTACGTGTCGCAGTCGTACATCAACTTCAAGGTGACGCGCTACGAGATGGCGGACGCGTTCGGCGTCGAGTTCTACTCGACGGAGGGCGACACGCTCAAGGTCTTCTCGACGGGCGACGTGCACTTCAAGCCGGACAACGCGGAGCGCACGGTGTACATCAACGAGCAGGTCGAGTACGAGTACGAGACCGACATCGACCGCCGCCTCTCGACGGCCGAGGCCGTGCTCGGGGACATCGACCTCACGCTGCCCATCGACCACGCGCGGCTCGTCGAGGCGCGGTACCGCCACAGCAACACGCGCGGCGGCTCCCAGAAGCCCGCGGCCGCCTCGGAGGTCCCGAGCCCGAAGGGCGAGCCCGTCGCGCTGAAAGATGCGTCCGTCCAGCAGGTCCGGCGTCTCCGGGGCCGCCGCGGCGGCTTCATGGGTGCTATGGGGTCGTTCTCGTTGGCGGGCGGCAGCAACCGGGCGGGCAACGACTGATAACCTATCCTAGTACCGTCCTAGCCTCCCCACCCGGAGACGCGGGGCGCGCTCGGGAAGTCGGCCGGGAAGCGGCCCGGGCGGAAGGCCCCGCGCTGCCTTGCAAGTCCCTCCGCAAGGCCGACCGCGACCTCGACGCGCGCTGCGGCGCGCCGCCACCGGGGCTCCTCTTCAAGGGGGACTTGGCCTCGGTATCTGGAGAGGTAACTTGAGAGGCGTCTTGAGAGCCATCATGATGCTTTGCCTGCTTCGACGACCTTGAAGAAGTTAATTTAGCGCCCGCTTGAAGCGCTGATTTTCCCGGCGTCGCGCGGGCTGCCCGCATCGCAACAGGATGCGCGCCGCCGAGGCGCCGGCGACGGAGAAGGTCGGCGGCAACGCCTTCGCGAGCTGCTACAAGACGACGTTCCCCGCCGGGTCCATCAGCCGGTCCGTGCGCCTCGGGAACGAGGCCGCGAGCTCGCGGCGCATCGTCATCGGCGAGAGCTCGCTGCCCGGCGTGGAGCGCGGCGACGTGCTCGTGGCCATCAACGGCCACAGCGTGCCGCGGAACGCCGCCGGGCCCGAGCTCGAGCAGCTCATGTCGAGCCGCGAGCAGTACGACGGCGCGCCCGTGCCGGCGACGCTCTGGCGGCCGCACCACCCCGAGTCGTTCGCGGAGGTCGCGGTCTTCTGCGGCCAGCGGCGCATCGGCGTCGAGTGGGGGCGCATCAAGCCCCAGGCCGAGATGCCGCTGCCGGCCGTCGGCGGCATGTTCGCCGCCGTCGACGTGCGGAGCCAGAGCGGCCGCGCGGCCATCGAGTTCGGCGACCTGCTCGTCGGCGTGAACCACAAGCCCGTGCCCGCGGACGTGTCCAACGACGAGATCCGGCTGCTGCTCACGAAGGAGCAGAAGCACGACCCGCCCGTGTTCAACCTGCTGCGCTGCGCCGGCGACGACGAGGTCAAGGCCTGGGTGCTGCGGCAGTGCGGCGCAGCGCGGAAGCGGCTCAACCGGCTCCGGAGCTCCGAGGGCGAGCGGAAGAAGCGCGAGTCGTCGGGGCGGAAGACGAAGACCGACGACGCGTCGAGCTGCCTCTCCTGCGACTGCTGCCTGTCGCCGGGCGGCGCGTCGAAGAAGGCGAGCGCCGGCGGCCTCCGGCTCTAGGCGGCGTAAATTCGAAGAGCGCGGGGGCTTAGCCAGCGGGGGTGTGCGACCCTAGGCGGACCGGAGCTCGTCCGTGGCGCGCACGAGGGCGTCGACGATGCCGACCTCCGTGTCCGAGTGGCCCGCGCCGTCGACGATCTCGAGCTTCGCCTTCTTGTCGAGGGCGCACCAGAGCCGGTAGGCCGCCTCCGGGCGGCAGACGAAGTCGCAGCGGCCGTGGACGATGGTGATGGGCAGGTGCGCGATCTTGCCGACGTCGTCGAGGAGCTGGCCGCGCCGCAGGAAGCCGTTGTTCAGCATGTAGTGCGCCTCGAAGAGCGCGAAGGGCACGAGGATCTCCGGCGTCGACAGCACGCGGTCCTTCTTCTTCGAGTTGGGGAACGTCGTGCTCACGGAGAGCTCGTAGGACACGAACGCGCGCGCGGCCGCGTTGCGGACGTCCGAGTCGTCGGACCGGAGCCGCTTGTAGTACGCGGCCAGCAGGTTCGTCCGCTCGACCTCCCACTCGCCCGGCGTCGACCGGATGTGCTCCTCGTAGCCCGCCCAGGCCTCCGGTTGGTTCAGGGCCTGGTGGCCGTTCTGGAACAGGTTGTCGACCTCGTCGGGCATGAAGAGGAAGCAGCCCCGGAGGACCAGCGCCTCGAGCCTGTCCGGGTGCGTCTGCGCGTAGGCGAGGCCCAGCGTCGAGCCCCAGCTCCCGCCGAGCACGACGCCCCATTTATCGATCCCGAGGTGGGCGCGCAGCTTCTCGACGTCGCCGACGAGGTGCGGCGTGTCGTTGCACACGATGGACGCGGCCCAGTCGTCCGACGCGTTGGGCGTCGACCGGTTGCAGCCCCGCTGGTCGAAGGTGCAGATCCGGTAGACCGCGGGGTCGAAGAAGCAGCGCGTGTGCACGCCGCAGCCGCCGCCGGGGCCGCCGTGGAGGAAGACGGCGGGCTTGCCGCTCGGGTTGCCGCTCAGCTCCCAGTAGATCTCGTGGCCGTCGCCGACGTCGAGCATGCCGTGCTCGTAGGGCTCGATGTCGGGATAGAGCACGCGCATGTTGTCCCCCGCAAACGACGTCATGGTCCCGGTTTTCGGACACTCTTTATGGCTGCCCAAAACGTCGAGCAAGAATTTGGGGTTCAGTCAGCGATTCATTTGGTTGTACTTCAACTTCAACATTAACTAAAGAGCTCGGCGCCCACGAGAGCGTCGAGGCGCGACGACGGCGGCGCGTAGAGGTCGGGCCCGTGGCCCGCGGAGGCCGCCACGGCGACGATCTCGGCGCCTGGCAGGTGGGCCGCCCGTATTCGTTCGGCCACGGCGACGTCGCGGCGATTCCGCGCGCCGACGTGGACGCGGACCCGGGCCGCGACGGTGTCCGTCGGGAACGACTCGAGCGCGTCGTCGTCGTCCCGCCAGCGGATGTCCGCCCGGAGCGGCGAGAGCGCGACGACGTCGGCCGTCGCGAGGTCCGCGTAGCGCAGCGCGCCGTAGGCGCCGCGCGACGACCCGAGGAACGACACCGCGGCGTAGGTCGTCCGCAGCTTCGCCAAAAAGGCCCGGAGCGCCGCCGGCGCCCGTCCGTAGGACGTCTGCGCGTCGTCGTAGAGGAGGCACACGTCCGCGGCCACCCGCGCGCGCGCGAGCGTCCCCGCCCACTCGAGGCCCATGGCCCCAAAGGCGACGACGCAGCGCGCGTGCCCCCGAGCGACGAGCAGGTTCGCGTAGGGCAACGCCGGATCGTGGACGCCGTCGAGGAACGTCCCCGCGGGCCGCCGCCTCTGCCCGGCTCGCCGGTCCGCGTAGATCGTCCGGATCGCGGGCCACCGCGTCTCGCGGAGCTTCGGGTTCCCGTAGCAGCGCAGCTCGACGAGCGTCTTCGAAAGCTTGCGCGGGAGCGCCCGGAGGGCATTGCGGTCGACGAAGAGGCGCTCGAGGCGCGCGAGGCGGCCGAGGTCCGCGGGTAGCTCGACGATGTGGTTCGCCGCGACGTCCAGCACCTTCAACGTCGCGACGTCGCAAAGCTCGTCAGGCAGCGCCGTCAGGCGGTTCGCGGACGCGTGCAGCCGCTCGAGCGGTGCGACCAAGCCCTTCGGGAGCGCCGCGAGGCCGTTGCTCTCGAGCCGCAAACTCACGAGGCGCGCCGGGAGCCTCGGCGGCTCGACGAACCCGCAGCCGCCCAAGACCAGCGTCGCGCAGGTCGGCGGCGCGACGGGCGCCGCGGCGAGCGCCACGAGGCCGTAGAGGCGCAGCTCCGCGGCGCGCGGCGGCAGCGAGAGCGCGCGGAGGCGTTCGTTCCGCTCGAGGTCCAGCACCTCGAGGCCGCCGAGCCCGGCGCCGTCGAAGGCCGCCAGCCGATTCGCGCCGAGCCAGAGCCGCTTGAGATGGGACAGGCGGTCCGCGGGCGCCGCGGCGACGAGCCGATTGCCGTACGCGTGGAGCTCCCGGAGCGCCGCGCATCGCTCGAGCGCCTCCGGGAAGTGCGTGAGCCGGTTGCCGCCGACCTTCAGCACGCTCAGGCGCGGGAGGTCGCCGATCTCCGGCGGCAGCTCGTCGAGGTCGTTGTCGTAGGCCAGCAGCGACGTCAGGGTTTTGAGGCGTCCGATCGCCGGCGGCAGGGCCGCGAGCCGGTTCCCGCCGACGGCGAGGCTCTCGAGGTGCGCGAGCGGCGGCAGCGCGAGGCACGCGAGGTCGTTGTGCGCCAGCCCGAGGGACCGCAGCCCCGCCGGCAGCGCCTCCGGCAGCTCCGCGAGCGCGTTTTCGGCCGCCGCGAGGATTTCGAGCTTCCGCGGCAGCACCGCCGGCAGGGAGCGCAACCGGTTGCGCGAGACGTCGAGCGCGCGCAGGTCCTCGAGCTGCGCGATGCCTTGCGGCAGCGCCGCCATGGCGTTGTCGCCGCAGCGCAGCGCGAGGAGGGACAGGGGCAGCTCCGGCAGCGCCGCGAGCCCGCGGTGCCGCAGGTCCAGCACCTCGACGGCCTCCTCCTCGTCCGACGACGTGTCCTGCTCCGGCGGCGGCGGCGGCATCGGCGGCTGCATGGCGACTTTCTAGGCTACACGAGGGCTACCTTAGCTGGCTACCATCGTGAACACGAGTGATTGTTGCTAGGCTAGGAGAGGGTTAAAGGTGCATTGCACGTTTCCGCAAAGAGCACCGGTACACGATGGCCGCTAACTCGGGGAGCTGCCCCCCGCGGCGCACCGCTCCCGTCCCGCCGCGCAGCCGGAGGAGACACGCACGCATGCCACTTCTGTTGTTCGCCCTCTGCGCGGCGCCCGGCGCGGCCCAGACCGTCGCCCCCACGGAGTGCCCCACGCCGCTGCCGTCGCCCCTGCCGTCGACGAGCACGCCGTCGTCGAGCCCCTCGCCGAGCCTCGCGCCCACGAGCTCGCCGTCGACCTACGCGCCGACGACGAACGTGTCGCGCGCGCCGACGGCCGTGCCCGCGCCGGCGCCGACGCGGAGCTTCGCGCCGACGGCCGACCCGACGTTCACGCGCTACCCGACGCACGGCCCGACGCTGACGCCGGCGCCGTCGGCCGTGCCGACGCCCGTGCCGACGGCCATGCCCAACACCAAGGCGCCGACGAAGTTCGTGCGCCCCGTGAAGCTCTGGACCATCTCCCTCGCGTCGACGCTCAACATCGGCATGGGCATCGTCGTCTTCATCTCCGTCGTCATCCACTGCGCGGCGAGCGTCTTCCGCATCAAGCCGCTCATCCCCCAGGAGTTCGTCGCGTAGCTTACTTCTTGTAGTGGTGCGGGTTCTGCTTCTTCCACGCGGCGACCTCGGGCATGGCGTCGACGGCCGCGTGGACGGCCCAGACCTCGGGGAACGTCTCCTTGATGAACGTCTTCGGGATACCGTCGATGACGCCGCTGGACAGCCAGCCCACGGCGCGCCAGACGGCGAGGTCCGCGACGGAGAGGTCCGCGCCGGCGACGAAGGGGCCCGCGACGTGGGCCTGCTGCGCCTCCAAGCCGCGCAGCAGCATGGTCATGCGGCCCTCGGCGGAGATCAAGTGCTGGCGCCAGGCGATCTTCCGCTTCGGGTCGCGCTCCTTCATCGTCGCCGTGATGAGCTCGCTCACGTCCGTCAGCGCGTCGACGGCCTCGTCGCACTTGGCGGCCAGGAACGGATCCGCCGGGTACAGCCCCGTCACGGACCCGACGTAGCGCGCGATGGCCTGCGTCTGGTTGAGCACGCCCTTGCCCTCGACGACGAGCGCTGGGAACGTGCCAAACGTGAGCGCCCCGCTCGCGTACATGTCGTCGTAGCCCAATCTTGCGTCTTCAAACGGCACGTCGCCGATGTGCAACGCGAGGCGGTTGCACTCCGCGCGCCAGTAGTGATGGTCGAGGTAGATTAATTTGAGCTTCGGGAGTGGCATGGCGGCCATGACTATGGTTGCACAGCTGAGCTGTCCGAAGGAAAGCGCGGCAGAGCTCTGAGGAGCAGGACAAGCAAGGTTCAAGGTGCCGCGGAGGCAGCGCCGGTTTGGACGATGGTGGGCCCATCGGGCAGCGGTTCGAGGCATACGACGCCCTAAAGAAGCGGACGCCCCCGTCGAAAAGCGGCGGGGCCGGCCGCTTGACGGCCGGCGGGACCACCATGGACGACGAGGAGGAGATGCAGACCGAGGAGTCGAAGCGCCTCGCCGCCGAGGCCAAGGTCGCCAAGGAGAAGGCGGAGAAGGAGGCCGAGGAGCGGAAGCAGGCCATCTACAAGACCCTCATGCGGCGCGCGAACATCGAGAACCGGAGGAAGCACCTCGGCCACCTCGCGGACTTGGACGCGTCCAGGCGCGAGCCCACGGGGCGCGTGTCGCGCAAGATCTACCACGAGCTCGTCTCCGTGCGCAAGTTCGACCAGTACAACCGCCCCCAGTCGACCAAGCTCTCCGACGCCGAGCAGCTCATCGCCGACATGCAGCGCACGCTCGGCGGCGGCGAGGCGGCCGCGGCCGCGGACGCGCCGCCGGCGGCCGCGGGCGACGCGGCCAAGGAGGCCCAGGCCGTCCAGCCCCTCGTGACGCCCAAGTGGGTCATCGGCTACAAGAAGGAGCAGTTCGGCCCGCCGGGCCTGGCGCCGCCGCGCAACGGCGTGCTCAACAGCGAGGGCAACGAGCACTTCTACAGCTACGACGGCTTGTGGGAGGCGGGCAGGATGCACGGCTTCGGGCGCTACAAGTTCGCCGACGGCATGCTCTACAGCGGCGGCTTCAAGAACGGCCTGCCCGACGGCGAGGGCTCGGCCTGGTACCCCGGGGGCACGAAGTACAAGGGCCACTGGCGCGACGGACTCCACGAGGGCACGGGCGTGATGACGTACGCGACGGGGTCCACCTACGACGGCTACTGGAAGGACGGCAAGCGCCAGGGCGAGGGGAAACTGACCTTCGCCTCGGGCACGGTCTACGAGGGCCACTTCTGGCTCGGCAAGTACCACGGCCGCGGCCGCGTGACGTCGCCGACGACGGGCTTCGAGTTCGTCGGATCCTTCCACCGGGGCTTCGTCAACGGGCCCGGCGCCCTCGTCTGGCCCGACGGCGAGCGCGACACGCGGAACTGGGCGTCCTACGGCGGCATGACGCTCAAGCAATTGATCGAGTACGCGCTCCAGGAGAAGGCGGAAAAGGCGGCGAAGAAGACGAAGGAGCGCGACGCGGCCTTCTCCGTGCGCCTCGCCGTGCGCCTCCAGGACTACGTCACGTCCGTGCGCGACGACATCAACGCCGAGCGCGAGGAGAAGAAGATCGAGGCCGAGGCGACGCGCCGGGCCCTCGTCCAGGAGCGCAAGGAGAAGGCGCGCGAGCTCCGGGAGAAGGCCCTCGCGTCGCTCTCCGCGGCCGCCGACGAGGCCACGGGCGCCGAGGCCGACGCGAACTTCGACGCCGCCGCGGAGATTTAAGCATCAGAGGTAGCGCGCGCGGCGCCGCGAGAATGAGAGGTAGCGCGCGCGGCGCCGCGAGACTCAGAGGTAGAGCGTGTGGCGCCGCGGCGCCGCGCCTCGTTCCGCTTTCGACGCGGCGCCGAACTCGGCGTCGCGGTTCAGGTCCGCGACGCGCACGACGGGCTCGAGCCGCGCCGCGTCCTCGACGAAGGCGATCTTGTCCCGCGTCGCCGCGTCGCAGAACTTGCGCGCGATCCACCAGAGCGTCTGCCCCGCGGAGCCCGACTTGAGCACGACGACGCGGCCCAACCGCCCGCAGTAGTGCTTCTGGAAGACGGGCAGGGCCGGCTTGATGACGCCGAGCGTGTCGAAGAGCGCCGTCGCCGGCGCGCCGCGGCAGTCGAGGACGAGCGCGCAGCGGCCGTCGCCGCCGCGGCAGCCGCCCTCGATGACGCGCACGAGGTGGCTCAGCGTCGCGGGCCGGCAGTGGCGGCAGTGGAAGAGCAGCACGGCCTCGCCGCGCCTCGTCCGCACGCCGCGCGGCCCGGACCAGAACATGCGCTTCAGCTCCGGGTCCGGCGGCGGCAGCTTCTCCGGCGCGCGCGCCGCGGCGCACGACGCGCGCCACTGCGCCGTGTCCGCGACGGCGTCGGCGACGGACCGGTCCGGGAAGCGCGGCTTCCACCGCGCCGCGGCGAGGTAGCGCGCGAGCGTCGCGTCGTCGAGGGGCATCCGGCCCCGCCGCGCGTCGCGGACGAGCTTCCTCCGCGCGAGGACCTCCGCGCGCAAGTTTTCCAGGAGCGCGCGCCGCTCGCCGTCGAGGCCGCCGCCGCCGCGCCAGCCTTTGAGCAGGCGCAACGGCGCGAGCAGGCCGCGCGCGCATCGCTTCGTGAGGTTCAGCGAGCGCGACGCGGCGGCGCGCGTCGCGTCGAGCGAGTAGCTCGTGCAGCGTTTCGTGAGGTTCAGCGAGCGCGACGCCGCCGTGCGCGTAGCGTCGAGCGAGTAGCTCGTGCAGCGTTTCGTGAGGTTCAGCGAGCGCGACGCGGCGGTGCGCGTGGCGTTGAGCGAGTAGGTCGTGCATCGTTTCGTGAGGTTCAGCGAGAAGGATGCGTAGCGCCGCGTCGCGAGCCACGACCAGGTCGTGCAGCGCCGCGTCAAGTCGAGCGAAAATGATGCGTAGCGCCGCGTCGCGAGCCGCGACCACGCGACGGCGCGCTTCGCGATGGCCCAGGAAGCCTGGCCCAGCGCGGAGGCATAGCTTTTGGCGTGTGTATGCGGTATCTCCGCCGCGCTTCGCTGCCGCGCATTCACAGGCTGCGCAGCGATCTTGCACGCGCCGCGCGGTGCATAGAGCGCTGCGACGACGAGCACGAGTGCTCGAAAACGACCGGCCATTGCCGTGCTCTGAGGCAAGATCGAGAGCTTCACTCATTTTTGGTGAAGTGGAGCATGGCCTGAGAGAATCGTGCGACCCCAAGAATAACTGGGACCGTCGGGCGGCGGCCGGGAAGGGATGGCGGTGGTCCGGCGTACAATACTCCTCTTCCTGGGGCTGATGCTGCGCGCGAGCGGCGAGCAGCGGTCGATCAAGCTGGTCCGCGGCGCGTCGGCGGTGGACCTGAGCCCAAGCGGGTCGGCGTGTGTCGCGAGCGCGGCCCCCGTCGCCGACGCCATGTCCGGGCCGGCGTCGCTGTCCTTCCTCGCGTCGCGGCGCGTCGCGACGGCCGCGGGGGACTACGCGGCGGTCCTCTTCGAGAACGTGACGCAGCACCTGCCGGACGGCGAGACGCACCTGCTCGGCGTCTTCCGCGGCTGGAGCGGCGACGGCCGCGCCATGCTCTTCGGCGACGGCGAGCCCTGCCCCGGGGACCGCCCGCGCAACGCCACCGTCGTCGCGACGTGCGACGGGGGCCCGCGCCTCGCGCTCGCGGACGCGACCGAGCCGACGATGTGCGCCTACGAGATGAAGCTGCTGCTGCCCGTCGCCTGCCCGCTCTTCGAGAGCGGCTGGCGGGACGCGGCGCCCCCGCGGGGGACGGGACCGCCGCCCCGCGGGGACGGCGGCGGCGGCGTCGCCGCGCTCCGCGCCGAGGCGGACGACGCGCGGCGCCGCGTCGCGGAGCTCGAGGCGGCCATCGCCGCCGCCCTGGAGGCGGCGGAGTCCCTGGAGGCGGCGGGGTAAGGGCCCGCATGTTTTCACTCGGGGGGCTGGCGTGCTTGCGCGCGCCGCGGCGCGGGCGGGCCCTACTAGTAACCTGAGGACGCGACGATGGCATGCCAGCCTCGGCTCCGAGTCCAAAAGAAGCACCGATTAAAGACGGTGGGGAGGCGGTCCTCCGCCCCCGGAGTGGCCGGCGGGTGTGCGCGCGCGGGTCCGCGGCGCGGGCGTGGTGCGGTGTCGAGAGGGGGGTCTTTCTTGAGTTTTTTTCGTTCGACAGGGGGAGGGGGGAAGCAAAATCGGGACCACATTTCCGCCTACATGACGTTGATGAGGATGCCCTCGGCGCCGACGCCCGGCGAGAAGGAGAAGGCGATGCCCTGCTTGAGCCCGCGCTCGCCCTTGGCGAGGGCCTTCTTGTGGTCGTTGAGGATGAGCTCGAGCACGAACATGACGCTGGGCGAGAGCATGTTGCCGTACTGGGACAGGACCGTCCAGGAGTACTTGGCCTGCTCCTCGGAGAGGCCGAGGCCGTTCTGCGCCTCCTCGATGATGCGGCGGCCGCCCGGGTGGATGGCCCAGAAGTCCATGTCCGTCTTCTGGAGGCCGTGCATGCCGAGGAACGAGTCGACGTAGCCCGCCATGTTCTTGGCGATGTACTGGGGCAGGTACTTGGAGAGGATGCAGGAGATGCCGTTCTCGTTGATGGACAGCGTGATGCCGTCCTCCGTGCCCTCCATGAGCCAGCCGTGCGTGTCGACGATGCCGAACTTGCCCTTGGCGGCGGCCGAGCCCGGCTTCTCGCCCGAAATGACGGCCGCGGCGCAGCCGTCGGCGAAGATGGCGTGGAGAATGGCGTCGTTGACGTTGTCGTCGAAGGTCGTGTGGACCGAGGAGATCTCGACGCAGACCATGAGCGCCATCTTGCCCGGGTGGGACATGGCGAAGTCGTTCGCGACGCGGAAGCCGTTCATCGCCGCCGCGCAGCCCATGAAGCCGATGAGGGAGCGGTCGACGCCGCGCCAGAGGCCCAGCGTCTTGATGAGCTCCGCGTCGAGGCCCGGGCCGAGGAAGCCCGTGGAGGATACGACGACGAGCTTGCCGATCTGCTCGACGTCGATGCCCGCGTCGGCCATGGCGTCCTTGCAGACCTTGGTCACGAGGGGCACGGACTTCTCGCGGAACATGTCGAGGCGCTTCTCGACGGGCATCTTGAACATCAGGTCCTTGTCGAAGAAGTTCTCGTCGCCCTCGAGCTTCTGCTCGGGCGTGAAGTCGGGCACCGCCATGAAGCTGCGGGGGACGCGGACGGTCGCCATCGGCGTGCGTGCGCGCGGGATGCGTCAGGATCGCGCGCGATCCACCGCGGCCCGCGGCGCGCTCGGCGCCGCCGCCGGTCGCGCGCGGAAGAAAACGGTTCTTCCGCGGCGAGGTGGCCGCCGCGGCGTCGCGCGCGGCCGGCCGGCGGCGGATCGCGCGGCGCGCGCGGCGCGCGCGCCGTTGCAGCGGACGCGGCGCGCGCACCGGTAGTCGATGCGGCTGTTGCCGTAGATGCGCGCGAGCACGGGCTTGATCGAGTTACACTCGGGGCAGCTCTCGGCGATCGCGAGCGCCTGCTGCTGCGAGGCGCGGTAGGGCGGGTTGCCCGTCGCCATGCCCATGATCACGGGGATGATCTTCTCGTCCTTCTTGGGCGTCGCCTAGAGGGGGCGCGCCGCGTTAGAATTCAGGAACACTCTTTCCTGCCGCTGCCAAAGCTCCGCGCGGCAAAGGCTGCGGACGCGGCGCGCGCGCCATGGTGACGATGAGCATCGTCGCGAGGACGACGCACGCGCCGCCCAGCACCTGGGCCTCGAAGGGGAGCTCGCTGATGGCAGACATGGCTTCGGCTCTGCTTTGCGTTTGTGCTACGTCGCGACGTGGAGCCTCCTTTCGACGCTGCGATCAGCCAATCTCTGCCGCATCGGCCTGTGGCAAATGGCGATCTTATAGTTTGCTTCATCATGCCTCGGATCCGGCAGGGACTTCGGCACTTACTTCGGCAGAGCGCCGGCCGTCCACGACAAAGCCCACGGCAAAGCCCATGCACATCCCGGGCGAGCCGAGACGACGCACCACCTCCCGAAGCACACACACAACCTCAGTTACCGCTGCACGGTCACCACGAGATCCGAGAACGCGGTGAGCGCCGCGTGGATCTCGCCGTGCTTGAGGTTCTCGCGCCACATCATCTCGACGAGGGCGTGGTGGCCGTCGAAGTAGGGCGACAGCGCGCGGAAGATGTGGAGGAGGCGCAGGTGGTGGGGCGCGCCCGCGTCGCCCGCGGCCGGCCGCGGCTGGCGGCCGTGGAGCGAGTCGTCGTCGCGGTCGTCGAGGCTCAGGCGGAAGCCCGCGCCCGGCGCGACGGCGGCGTTCGCCGCGGCCTCGAGCCCCGGCGGCGGCGCGCCGTCGATGCGGAGCACGTAGGTGTGGAGCTCCCGGAGGTGGCCCGACGTGAGCAGCCGCAGCACGGTCTTCGTCGCGTCGGGCACCCTCTGCCGCTCGAGGTCGTCGAGCGCGTCGCCGAGCCGCCGCGCGGGCCCGAAGGCCGCCAATACCGCCAGCGCGCGCCGCCGGCGCAGCTCGTCGCCGCCGTCGGGGACGGCCGGCGCGCGGTCGTCGACGGCGTAGACCGAGTCGGACCGGACGACGGTGACGACGCGCGCCTTCTTCCACTCCACCAGGTGCCGCGCGAGGCGGTAGACCCGCGACAGGGGCAGCCCCGTCGACGCCGCGAGCGCGTGGAAGGACGCCGTCGGCGCCGCCGCGGCGAGCAGCTGGCGGAGCTGCGGCGTGACGGACTTGGGCAGGTCCGCGAGGACGGCCTTCGCGTCGTCGAAGAGCAGCAGCGCCTCGTAGGGCGCGTAGGACCGGCGCCGCCGGCGGCGCCGCCGCGCGCGGCGCGTCGCCTGGGCCGGGTCCGCGCCGAAGCGGTCGCCGGAGCGGCCGCGCTCGGGCGACCCGTCTCCGCCGTCGCCGCCGTCGGAGCTCTCCGAGCCGTCGCTCCGCCCGCGCGGGTCGTCGGACTCGTCGGAGGAGCCGTCGCGGGGCCGCGCGAGGCGCCCGCAGACGGCGACCCAGCGGTTGAAGCGCGCGCGCACGCGGCGGTCCGCGGCCGCGCCGTCGAACGCGTCGCGGAGCTCCCTGGCCAGGCTCGACGCGTCGACCATGGCCGCGAAGGCGTCGGCGCCCGTCTTGTCCGGCGCCGCCGCGAGCATCAAAGCGCACTGCGCCGACACGTAGCCGCAGCGCCGCTCCTCGTGGCGCAGCGCCGCGGCGACGTCGCGGACCGCGGCCGCGAGCGACTCCAGCGACACCGCGGCCGCGCCCGCGTCGTCGCGCGCGCCGGGCGCGGCGCCCGTGACGGCCCAGACGACGTCGAAGAACTTCAAGCGCCGCTCCGGGACGCAGTCGTCCGCGACGGCCTCGTCGTCGTCGCCCCAGAAGACGTCGCCCGCGTCCGCCGCGGGCACCTCGGACGTCGGGCACGACACGAAGAGCGCGTCCTCGAGCTGGAGCTCGACGAGGCCGTCGCGCAGCGACTTCTTCGCGCAGAAGAGCTTGGCGAAGTCCGCGTCGGCCATGGACGTGAAGATCGTGCCGTCGGCGCTGTCCGGCGTCTTGTCGTAGCGGAAGACGAGGCGCGGGCCCTCGTCGTGCTGCACGACGAAGCCGAGGCCGCGCAGGTGGACGCCGCGTGCCTCCATGGGTGTGCCGGCAGCGCGATCTACGGCGTCGGCGCAACGCGCGCGCAAATGAGCGACGGCGTCGCCGCGCGCGGCGGTGCAGGCGCGCGCGCGCGCGCCGTGGAGGCTGCGGAGCCGCGCTGGCGCCGCCGCTGAAGGCTGCGGCGACCGCGACGGTTCCGGTCGCTCTCTGCGCTGCGGAACGTGCAGGCGCCCTTGGCTGTTCGCGGACGCTGGCGCGGCACTGTGGCGAGGGACGAGGGCGTCGACGCGGACACTTTTTGCGAGTGCGGCGCCTTCGATGTCACGGCCCGCACCGATGTTTGCCTCAAGCTACTCGGTGTTGATGTTGCAGAGTTTGCAGCGGCTTGAGGGGGGTCGGTGGCGCCCTCGGCGCCCTCGGGGCC